TGACAGGTTAGTCCATCCTGTGGTCTGTGTGGATCCCAGTGCATTAATGGGGGTTTTGTCTCTTGGATGAAATGTTAAACCAAGCTCCTGTCTCTCTGAGTATTTTTCGCATGCGTAGGAGTAGTATTCTGATGTGCTGGATAAAATTGCTCACTGTGACTCTATCAGGTCAGGCCTCCTAATCATCCCCTATATCTAATTGCTGTGTCCTCTACTGCCATCTCCACCTTAGTTTCTGTGTCGTGAGTGTACTGCCGTAGAATAGCTGCCAATTAATCATCCAGGGGGAGGCTACACAGAGGAGGTGGTTGAAGTGGTTCCCCACTGGTTTTGTGAAGCACTCTGGGTGTCTCAAAATGCACTATATAAATGTAACATTCATTCGTTCAGTACTACCCACTGAATCACTGTGCCACCCATATATATTTGGTCCCATATACTGAAATTGTTTCCTCATGTTCTTTGATTGTTTGGATTTAATATTGTTGAGAATTGAAAGATAAGCCATATTTTTGTTTAATTAAGTTTGGCAACCATGATAACTTTTATGAGTTGTGGAATTTTTTGAGTCTCTGTTCCTTTTATCAGTTACAACATAGGAAAACATATGGTCATTCTTAAGCCCTGTTAGTCATTCATATCACCACGTCCTCTTGACATTGTTTTCATAGTTATAAAAAGAGTGATGCAACAAGTGTCATTTATTGGAGTGACACCTTATGTGTGCTGTCTGCTTCACCACTGAAGCAAATGGGCTGTTGGCTGCTAACATGCCAACGAGGCCAAGTGCGGGAGGTACCACACTGACACGCAAAAATACCAGTTATCTTTTACCAGTTTCTTTTATTTGCAGATACAAAATGTCCTTTAAATAGTGTCAGGTATCAGCGACATAAAAACACTGCAGAAACTCCGGTACAAAATGCGGTCAACAAAAATGTGCTCCCCCCACTTGCCTGTGCACAGGTAAATGTGCTCCCCGCACAGGTAATTTCCTTTACAAATAAATACCGACACCCACACTCACGTGACTTTCACACCACAAGTAAAAGCCAAAATAAAAGCCCAAGTGCAACATACATACTGTATGGCCGTTACATGGCCAATAAGTACCTCTCAGTGAAACTGACTCAGCGGAACACTATTTTGTGTGGTTTATAATACATGAGAAATTACACAGTCACCGATTCGGCCCTCTGCCAGTAGTGCACGTCTGAGCTGCAGATCCCCACAGAGTGCATCTGCACACAGGAATCCCAGTTTATAAGGCAGAATGTTGCCAGTTTCGTGCCTGACTCCACTTTACCTGGTGGTTTTGGTGATGGATAACTCTTTGATATACCATACATTAAGATGCTTGTAATGTTACTATTTGCTTGAAAACTACAATGCACTCATGATGGAAATGTAAAATAATTAGAATTCCAAGAAGAGTTTAGGTAAGGAGCATTCCTATTGGAAAATCATGGCTTCTAGCTTGAATTAACCCAGCTAACTGAGAAATCCTGCTTGTTGGAACACCTACCAGATGTCAATGTACTATTTGATCCTGGTTCTGAAATCAACTGTTGGTCCTAAATATATGGCAGTAGTTACACAATACATAGTAACACTACAAATATTAAATAGCCTAGTATAGTCTTGACTCCTGAGAGCTTTTGATGTAAGTGTGGTGTTTTACAAATGTACAGTGTCCTTTAAAGACTGTCGGTATATTATTACACCTTTTCTTTCAATAAACATCACACCTGCAAGGGTATTTTTTATTTGTATTGTTCTAGGCGTTACATGGCACTACAGATAAGAAATATTGCAAAAGTGAATAAAAGTGTATAATTGCCAGTCTGAGATCGCCTGGAGAATGCAGAAACACTGAAAGATGATGTAAGAAACCCAGTATTTTGTATTGGTATGCTTAGACTGCCAGGAATCAGTAAAGATAGAAATCAGTAAAGATTAAAGCAAAAGCAAAACTTTAATAAAAGTGTTTGATAAGGATGTTTCAGTAGAATGTGGGCAGTGGTGGCTTGATGGTTAGGGAAGCGCACTTGTAATCGAAACATTGCAGGTTCAAATCCCTGACCAGCAAGGCACCACCGAGGTACCCTGAGCAAGGTACCGTCCCCAAGCACTGCTCCCTGGGCGCTGAATTAGCTGCCCCCTGCTATGTCACAAAAGTCACATATGGGTTAAATGCAGAGGACACATTTCGTTGTTGCGCACTGTGCTGTGGTGTGTTAACAATGACCACTGATCACCTAATTCTTCAATAGCTAAGAAGAAAAATTCAATAAAACATTTAGGCTAGTAAGTGATCCTGCCAAAGAGGGTTCCTAACCTAGTAAGAGGGCTCCTAACCTAGTAAAGATTCTGGAGAAGTCTGAGCTAAAAACATAGTTAGGCCTCATAACATATGAGTATTTTTTAAATAGCACAATAAATTCCCCTAAAACTCTTCAAATTGACTCAGAATGTCATTCCCACTCTTTTCATTCCCCACAGCCTTACAGCATTTGCTAAAATTTATCAGAAACATTTATATGCAGTAGAACCCTGAGAATTTAGGGACATCACTCTGACAAAGTTTAAAAGAGATATTTATTAAACAATATATAGCTTTCTTATCTTTTATTATTGAGGGGTTGCACCTGTATACATAAAAAAACCTTTCCAGAAGTCTAAATTGGTTCTTTATATTTCAGTGACAATTGCCTTGACATATGTGTCATACATATTTTCTTACTCCTTTGGTTTGCTAAAGAGATTATAAGTAACAGAAGGGGTTCCTGGTAGCTTGGACTTCCTCGTCGTATCAATGGCTATGGTGTTTTCCATGGAAACTTTAGCCAGTGAAAACCCAGAACAGCCTGGACGGAAGTCATGCAGCTCCCCAGGATACCTTTTCAGGTCATTTACTGAAACATACCCTGAAAAGAGATTTAAAATTTCACATGACTTCTTGGAAAAAAGGTTGCTCTCTACAACTTACAGTAAATAGGAGTTTTGTTATAGAACAAAAATTACAGCAAAATCAATGAATAAATAAATGAACAAACTGGCACATTGCAGTTATAATTTGAATTTTTGCAGTCTTATTACCTGTGATCTTGTTGTTGGTAGGATAATGTTGCGTATTACAACAGAGAATTTTTTTCCCTGGGTTTTCCATCTTGAGTGCTTTGTAGCTTTAAAGAAAGATATCATATGACAGTGAACGTGATGTTTGGCCATTTTCATTAAGGAATCAGTATTCAGGTGTGTTCAGATCATGTTTTGTGTACACTGAGCACAGAAGGACCCCTAGTGGTTTTAATTCAATTGCAACTTGGAAGAAATAGTATGTTTTACTCCACCTAGTCTGAGGTTCTTGGTTTTCACAGCCACACTGTCCCATCTGGGTTTCCCTCAAAGGAAAAGAAGAAAAACAGGTTAAAAAAAGACAAATGTAGACAAAAAAAGACAAATGTAAGAGACCTGTAAGTAACCTGTAACATGTTATGGTTGTCCTCTTGCTCCCAAATGAAGCATCCAACTGCTGCTTTAACTTCTGAAATGATTGGTATTTAAATCAGCTAAACTCAAGAAGTGCACATCTTGCGCTTTCACTCTTTTTAACTTTTACTTTATCACCACAAGCTCTGTTCATTCAATTACTATTCAATTCAAAATTATTTGACCTTTAATTGTGTATAGGTGACAAAGCAACTGAAATAAAATGATAAACTTGTTATTTTTCAATTTACAGTGCTGGAAATTACTATGGAATCTGGTTTATTATGATAAAAGACATTCTGCAACTTTGTGTAATTCTATAGCACACATGTGTTGGCTTGGATGAGACCTTTCTGAACACATGCTGGGGGAAGCAGATAGTGGCCAGCAGTCAATGACTCCATGTTCTGGCGCTGCTCACATGCAGAAAGGCATGAGCTGTGGAAAACTGCCACCCTGTCATCTACATAGTCTGCACTTTCAAAAACCCTGAATCGCAAGAAAAATGAATGGCTATTAAGCACCTACATAAAAAATAACAATAGTGTAGCTATCCAATGGTATGACTCACTGGTGACAATTTATATAAAGACAATGATTATGAATTTATGGATCTGCTACGGACAAAATGTTTGATTTCATTACTTACAGTATTCAGCATAACTGTGATATGACAAATAAACGATATATAATCATGAATGGCTGTTTAGTATTTCCTCGGCTCTAAAGACAGCGCACCGTCGTGTGTCAGGGCAGGACGCATCTGCACTGAACAGGTACTCCGCAGAGGTCCAGCTGGCGATCAACCCACCTTCAGACACTGAAAATTAAAGTTTAACCTTAATTTTAATTAATAGCAATGAGTCTATAATGGTGAAACGCCTAATGGCTGTGGAAAGGGGCAGGTACTGGCAAAGGACCTATGGGCCACTGAGCAAAAGCAGGGTTGCCAAGGTCAGATCTTCAATTCAAGACAAGTCTGCACACACATTTACATGTATGTAAGAGTTTTATTACCTTGTGAATAGTATGTAGGGTTTGCAAACTGTATGAGAGTCTGAAAGGGTGAGTGTCGAGGCAGATGTATGAGAGTCTGAAAGGGTGTGTCACGCCTGATGCGTGAGAGTCTGAAAGGGTGAGTGTCACGCCAGATGCGTGAGAGTCTGAAAGGGTGAGTATCACGCCAGATGCATGAAAGTCAGAAAGGGTGAGTGTGAGATGCGCCTAGATGTGTGCTGGCAACCCTGCAGACAGCGTTTTCAATCTGTCGTTGAATTTAACGATTATACTTATTTAATAGGGGTCATTTATATAGTTATACATACTCCAATTTGCAATAATTTTGATAGTTATTTTTACTTAATAGACAAGCTTGAAAGGTCAAATTGTTTATTTAGTTTAACTTGAAGGTTTACCGTTTAGTCAGATACGTCGATACGGCCTCTTTCTACAGGTATAGTTATCTAGTCCTCTACCTACCCCACAGACGACGAAGATCTCCACTCACACTTTTTGAAAACCAGGCCATTTTCTTTCTAAACATGCCAGATGTACAATAATTTCGTCTAACCGACACAAATAATTCTCAAAATAGATTTATTAATTTACTAATATCTATAGTGCTATATTATTAGTAATACGGAGGTTTATCTAGTAAATGGTTTAATAATTTAGGTTTATAAATATCTAAATTGTAAATCTGACGATGCATAAACGTCTTTCGCTGAAACCGGTGTCACGTGACGGGGGCTTTATCCGGAGCTCGCGCCGGCGGGTGGTTATAGCGCCAGGTGTGGGCGTACAGCCTCCTGCACCCCGAGATAACGTGTACTTTCTCTCAGTTTCTCCCACTTCGAATTCACAACGAATTATTGAATCTTACAAATTACTGACGATATGCTTTTTTACGTTGTAGATCGGCTATAAGATTTGGGTTTCCTTACGAGCAATGTCTACTGTTGAGTTGCATTAATTGGCGTACCATATGGTCGTATGGGGTAGATTAGCAGATTATCGTCAACATCGTCGTCGATGACAGATGCTGAACACTCCCTCCCCAGGATCAAACGAGGACCATGAATTAATTCTACAGAATTGACTAGCAACCACGTCATTGTTTTTGAAATCCCCCTTCATGTCTGGCAGCAACCAAGGAATACTTATGTGTAGCGATTTATACTCATTGTATAGTGTTGTTTAGTTTAATTTTCCAAAAATATTCATCACTATATTGTTCAATCTTTGACATATCACAAGAAATTTGAGGAGAGCCCGTCTTGAACTTCAACCAGAAAGGTAAAGGGACACTGTGAATACAACTGTTTCTTACTCTTATAGGTTGAAGAATGTAGCTATTTGTTCAAAAAAGTTTAACTATATCACACCATTATTATGAATGACAATAATAATAATCATACTAATGAATGATAATTCTGATGGAGTCATGTAGCAGTGACCTGGATACAGTATGTCTGCACCTGTTATAGAGCGTGGTGCATAACCTGCTTAGAGGGAATCCAGATCCGTATATTACATTTTACACATTTCGGAAAATAAGTTGAATGCTATTTATTTATTTGTTTATTTGATTGATTATTTATTTAGGTGGCATGTGGTTTGGAGATAAATAGTTTAAGTAGGTCCCTGTAGTGGGTAACGATTTTGTGGTCTCTAATTAGAGTATGGTAATCCTCTTAGAGATTGTAAGCACCAAGCCAACTTTTTGCCCCTGTGCAGACTGCCTGTGTGTCTTCCTAACAATGCCGTCTGAAACCTACAGAAGGGGGGCTTTGGAAGTATGTGCCATGGCTTCTTGTGTGAAACATGTGGTTTCCTCACGTTGACCATTGTATTAATTGGACTACAGAAATCTTGGAGGGAGGTTTAACATAGAAATGTTTGGCGGTGGCACTAGGAAATGGTTTGTGAAGAAGAAAAAAGAAAGGAAGCCATCTGTCAAGGAGAAATGGAAGAAGAAATGGGTTGCTAATATTCTAAAGCAGCACAGAAAGCGTATCCTGGAAGAGCTGGACGTCAACAAGGTGTTGCCATACCTTGTGTACAACAAGGTGTTCTCTCTTGGAGAATATAAAGAGATCTTGGGGTATGACACCAATGCAAAAAGGGCTGAAATATTTCTGGACCAGCTGTCTTCTAAGGGCCCAGGAGCTTTCTGTTCTTTCTGCCTGGTCTTGGAGGAAGTCTGTCCTCACCTGCTAACCTGTTTTCTCTTGAATTACAAAGGTACTTTTGACTTTAGGCACTTAATTTTGTCTGTTACTCCTCCGTTGATTAGGTTAGGTGAACAAACCTTTGATGCAGCATCTAGATCTTAGTCACAGACACAATTTTCCATCAGAATGCTTATTATGTAGCAGTTTATGTGCAATAGAGGAGACCAGGGACAATTGTTGAATGGGGTTAGTGGTACAGTCAAAGGGGGTACAGTCATCTTCCTGCATTTAGATTCCCCCAAACACCACTCATGTGTTTATCAAACTATTAGGTTACATTACTTTATTTTGATTTTTTTTTTTTCGTTGTGTCATTTTTCTGCATTTTATAAAGAAGAAAAAAATTGTCCCTGGTCTCTGCTAAATATTCATGTTGCTCTTCTGTACAAACAGCAGAATGTGTTTAAGATGTGCTCCCTCTAATTCTATCCTCATTGAGATTTCATTGTTTTTAGTTGGATGGTTTATGGTTGAGTTTGTGTCATAGTCGTGTCCCAGTGTTTGTGTGGTGCTTTGTTTGTTGATTTACATACATGGTCATATCATTCTATTTATTTTACAAAATCTATAAAGATGACTTATTTGCAACTGAAAGCATGAAATTCTGAATTCCCTGCTGAGGAAACTGCTCTAATGTAAATGTTTAAAATGCTTGTTTGGGTTGCTTAAATCCTGCACATGTAAACATGGTAAGACTACACTTAAGCATACAAAGCCACTTGGAAGCACAGCACTGAAGAGATTAGTCTGGGCAGGAGAGTATGAGCAATATTGCATGTGGCTCCGACTAAGGCAAAGTCAGCTGAGCAATCTCCCAGATATCCTGAGCACAGAAGAGATAGAGCTGATATTCCATTGATATTTTGTTTACGTTTTATTACATGTGCAACTTAAACATATTAGGCCACATAGGTATCGCCCCATATTTCCCAGTACCTTCAATTTATCCAGTACTGGGAGAGTAGGGTTTTTCAGTTGCTGATTTTTTTACAGCTTGTTGTCTGTGAATGTTTACAGAGTGTTTTAGGTTCAGTTCAGTACATTTACATTTATTTATTCGGCAGGCACCACATCCTAATTTGCTGAGCCACACACTATCCCCTCCCCCCATTCTCAAACCTCTTATTTACTGAAAGATTTAAATAGACTGAATCTCATTGAGGATGTACTTTGTGCTGTATGCTGTCTGCAATAGGCTCGCTGTAGCCATGACTAGGATAAGTGGGTTGAAGATGAATGGATTTTAATAGAATTCCGCTAACTTTGCAGTGTCTTATATTTGAAATATGATTTGCTAAACAGCTTCTTTGCGCTACCGCTCCAAATCCCAGGGAACTTCCAAATGCTTGTTGAGAATATCTTATGTTTTATCTTTTTTATTGACTCCTTTCTGAGTATTGTGCTTTTTCCCCCTAGGAATATCAAACCTGTATTACTTGCTTGTGTCAAGCTGTCATCTTCCTCTCGCTTTCATTGTGCAAAGAGGCTACAGTCATGAAGGATCAAAGTCTTTGGTGTAATTTTATATTAAAACAGACTGCTGCCACTTTTGCCTGTCGCAGATTTTTCCATGACGAATAGCTCGGCAACCCGAATCGAGAAAAAGGACAGAGCAATGGCGCCACACAAACAGGGGCCCTTGGGGTCCAGGCATGATGGGAAGGGGCCCCTGCTTCCGCCTTACCCTGGCCCTGTCTTCAGTCCCTGGTGAGTCGCCGCCTCCACTTTTGTGTTCCTTTTCATCTCTGCTAACATGGCTACTCTGTTGGTGGTGGGCCTGTGCCTATGGAGTCCTGCTTTCCATGTGCAGTCATGACTTATTGGATACACGAGTTTTGGTTGTGCCTCTTGGAGAAGTTATTTTGTTTTGCCTCGAATCTTGGATGTCAACTAAAGTCGATTATTTTACTGTTGGATTTATGATATCATATACGATATGGTGTGTCAACAATGACAATTAATCACTAAATTCTAAATGAGCAGGCTGCTCTTTGACCATAAACATACCTCATTTGTACTTTCCTTTTGACAAACCTGTCTGCTAGATATGTAAGGGTTAATGACTAACAAGCTGTGAGTTATATGTTTTTAAGTGCATGGCTGTAGAGGTGAAAAACCACCTGATGCACAGAAGAGGGAATTGAAAATCAAATTTTAAATATCATCTTAAACATAGTTTACTGGAATTATGTTCGTCGAATATTTGCCCTGTTGCACATGGCCCGATTTTAAGGGACTGACATATGCGAGTCTGATATGCTGATATCATGAATGAATAAATGTGTATAGAGACTTTTCCAGCACTGTTTCAAATTAAATCCAAAGTTTGGGCAAACTTTAGATTATATAAAGTTAACAGACATCTAGACATGAATACGACTGTCTGCTTAAGTTCACAGTTTGGTGCAATGTTGGTACTGCAGAGAAACTTAGCTTATTTTGAAACTGTTTATCATTAAACACATCCATCCATTGTCTGTCGCATACCCGGGTCCTGGTTGAGAGGGCAGCAGTCTGAGCAGAGATGCCCAGACCTCCCTCTCCCCAGCCACCTCCTCCAGCCCCCCCGAGGGGATTTACAGGTACTTCCAGCCTAGCAAAGAGGTATGATCTCTCCAGCTTGTCCTGGTTCTGCCCTAGAGTCTCCACCCAGTTCTCTGTGCCTGGAGCACTTCCCCAGGGAGGCATCCAGGAGGTATCCTAGACAGATGCCCAAACCACCTCAGCTGGCTTCTTTCACTGGGGAGGAGCAGAAGCTCTACCTTGACCTCCGTGCTAAATGTCTGAGCTCCTCACCCTGTCACTAAGGCTGAGCCCAGATACCCTGTGAAGGAAGGTTAATTCTGCCACTCATTCTCTTGGTCACTACCCAGAGCTTGTGGCCACAGGTGATGCTATAAATGTAGATTGACTGGTAAATCAGTAGTTTTGCCTTTTGGCTCAGCTCTCTCTGTACCATGACAGACTGATACATAACTTGCTGATACTCCACCAATCTGCCTGTCAATCTCCTGTTCCATTTTTCCCTTATTCATGAACCAGACTGGAGATACTTAAACTCCTCCCCTTGAGGCAGTAACTCATCCCCAACCTGGAGGGGATTAAGAACCATGGCCTCAAACTTGGAGGTGCTGATTTTCATCCACTGGCCACTTCATACTTGGCTGCAGACCACCCTAGTGCATGCTGGAGGTTATAGCTTGATGAAGTTAACTGGACTGCATCATCTGTAAAATCAAAGATGACATCCTGAGGTCACCAGTCTGGACTTCCACCCCTTGGCTGCACCTAGAAATCCTATTCATAAAAGTTATGAACAGAATTAGTGACAAAGGTCAGCCCTGCAGGAGTCCAGCACCCACCAGCATACAGGACCCCACCTGAGGTCTCCAAGAAGGTCGAATGCTCTGAGCTGATGTTCAGTCCATAAACACAGACAGCGGTCAGAGCCTGTCCCCCGAGGAATTTGCTTTCAAAGCCCATGCTGGCCAGTGAGATGAGCCCGACTAAAACACACTCGTTGTCACACTAAAAATAAGTGTGCAAAAAATGTATTAAAAAAAGACTGTCATAACAATCATAATGACCTAAATGCTGGGTTCTCTACTACCAAGTATGGTTGCATGTCTATTGCAGTAAACACTCCTATAGCTTTAATTTTCTATCTTTCTTTTTTTTAGCCTGGTCTGAATTTCCTGGCAAAAGTGCCATTCATCTTGCTCTGGTCATACACACACTGGGATGTTGTCGTCTCAAATAAGTTAGCATGTTGAAAGCGTTTCCAGTGAGTTTAGTAAGAACATAAGAAATTTACAAACGAGAGGGGGCCATTCGGCCCATCAAGCTCGTTTGGGGAGAACTTAACTAATAGCTCATATAACAGAGCCAACAGAGAGTCTCAGTCTTATCAACTACTCTCTCTCCAATGCTGGTGTAATTTTTTGGGAACGCGCGATGTTCCAAAACTCCTGATTTGTGCGACATGGGAGTAACTCTGTACTCTCCAGCACTAGCTGGAACAGCCTCACAGCTGCCATTAGCGCAGTGGTTTCCATGTTAAACATCTACTTGTGAATGTAGATTTTGCCCGTGTCAAGTGATGTATTCATTCATTTCATTGTGCATCGCACAGCGGATACACTTACCATCACTGCCCCTGTCTTTAATGTAGAATCAGGAGGTCTCTGCCAGTTCACAGCACTATTAGATACCACCCAAGGCACTGTCTGTACAGTGGTACCTCAGAACTCGAATTTAATCCGTTCAGAACTCCGGATCGAATCCTAAAAAGTTCGAGTTGTGATCGAATTTTCCCCATAAGAAATAATGGAAAACCAAATAATTGGTTCCTAGTCCCAATAAATTACACCTAAATATGTTTTTTTAGCATTTAAACACAAAATGAACCGGATAAAACAAGAAGAGCATATACTGTACTAAACACATCTAAGCACATTTATCAAAACAGTAATTTGTAAAGTAAGAAAACAAATGTATCTAACAACAACCAAGGTGGTTTTCTAAGTAAGGAAATTAAGAATAAAGTCAGGAGGAAAAGGGCTCTGTTCCACAATTGGAAAATAACTAATGATTTCAAAATTAAGCAGGAGTATCT